AAATTGAAAAAATACATTTTAAGAAAAAAACTTCTATATTTTGCTCACTAAAATGACGTTTTTAAGTTGATACCTCCACTAATTGAGTTTTACTCCAGACAAGCATTACGTATGACAATTTACACGAAGGGACATTTAATACTCTATAACGTTGTTGTGCAGAGGTGTAGTTGATACTTACTGCTGTTTTCATAATGTTATATTACAATAACTCCGTGTTAGTCTACTTCTGTGAGAAATAAAAATGGAGCTAGATCCTAAATGATACTCTTTTTTCTATCAAAATGCAATACGAAAACCGCAAACAATTCCCCCTAATTATGATATACCATAAAGGCTTCTTATCATTTGTTGTGCCAGTTGTATTAATATTTTTACAACGTCATATCTTAAACCTAATCTATATTGGATCTACCAAATACAATATTTATTTAAATTCCTTTGTACCTAACATCGACTCATAGAATATCCCATTCCTCAAGAATAGAGCATTCTGTTGTTGTCATTAAAAAGCTTATTAATAACAAACATACATATAAAAGTATTAAAACACTACACAATGAATGATTAAGGTGTACAACTTAAAATTACTAGCCCTTTTCCACTCAAGGTTCAAATTCCGCCACATGCTTTGGAATGTTACATGTGAGGAAGCTATCCAGCTGGCTTACGAAACAGAAGTGGTTCTACTCAACTACCCGTTCGTGACTTAAATGATTCGCGGAGGGACGTATGAGGCAATTTATATTTTTTATGCTGGAAGGTCGCAATATGAACATTTACAGTGTAAGTTTGACTTTAAAAAATAACAACAAAGCCGATAACAACAAAACCTGATTTATTGCATGGAAAACTATTGCGCACTGTCCAGTTTTTTTTTGGGGTCCTCCCGGGCTCCTTGCCACTGGTTGTTGTTGCTGGGTCGTGTGGGGGTTGCGTTCATTGAACGCCGTCTTTCCTTGTTGATCTTGTTTATCATATTTTAATAAATGTATTATAACAAATTATCATATTGAACGCAGCAGAAGGAGATGAACAGTTTAATAATTATAATAATGTTCTTCCCTGCTTTCGAAAAACTTTTATCGTTAATATTTATAAAACCCAGTCTTTAAATTTTGTTCCTTTATAGGGTTTAGTAAAATTATTTTTTCCTTTAAAAACAAGCTTTGTATTCAAAATGACTTTTAAAACTGATTAAAAGAAGAAAAAATTTGTGGGGCCCCTTTTTTCTTAAATTGATTTTCAAAATTTTCCGTTTTTAAAAATTGATCTAGACCTTTTTTTGGGCAAGTTTTCTATTAAAATTCCTGAAAAGGAGTTAAATTTCAAAATTATATTTGAAAAATCGTAGGAATATATTTTTGACTTAGCGGGTTTTTCTTTGGTCAACAAACTTTTTCACGAGCTTCAGTAAAACTTAATCATGCGTAAAAGGGGAAATTTTAATACACAAAGGGGATTTAAACTTGAAAACTTTTCGAACTAGTAATTTTAAAATTTAGAACAATTCAATTTTTTAAAAATTAAATGATACTTTTTTAAAAAAACTTTTAAGAATAACTGTTTGGAGGTTTTCTGTGCCAGCCTTTCGCACGGGAGAAGTTGCAAAACAAGGAACAAATACCTTGCACCACATTCTGTTATAACAACTATAATATATTGCAGACATTTGTCAAGAAAAAAATCCATTTAAAAAGCAATGAATGATGAAAAATTATATTAAGGTTCAACCCAAAAAAATACAAATAGATGCCGAGGCCAAGGCAAGCTCAAACTAAGAAAATACGAAATATTAGTCTTAAACCCTTTACCCTAGCTTGTTTTGCAATACTGAATTTACAATAAACCATCGCCAGGGAAGGGCCATGCATTAGAAATAGGATATTTATTTGCTAACGCTAGTACAAACATGGTCAGAAGGAATATAAGAGACATCCTCATGCCGTTAAATAAAACTTAAATAAAACTTTTATTCCTTACAAACTTTGTTTAACAAAACTAAAATTTGTAGATTTTACGACGATTTATGTTATGACGGGACTAGAAATAATTGTTGGAGATTACTGTTCCATTTAGGTCTCGACCAATAACCTGTGTACAAAATTCAGATATCTCTCTCACTCTGATTTATTGTCTCCAAAATTAATATTGTTGAGACAAAATTATAAAAACTTGCAACTCCTTTCACTCAAACCAGGGTAAGGATAGAACAAATATACGATTTTTATATTTTTCTATGATTAAATGTATATTTAAAAGGTTTTTGTATCCTTTTTCTTAATAAATCGCAGTTGATCTATGTAATGAATTCAACTTTCATGTTTTAACCCTTTCCCCCATGAGCATATTGTGAAAAATGGCCATTTTCACTGAAAAGCCTCCTCTTACAAGTTCAAACTGCTATGAAACTATGAAAAATGCTTCAATACTAATCAAACTTGGCACAAATGTTGACTGGACCATTGCCTTTGTAACGACATGCTCAGTCTTAAATTTCCTGTTACCATGGCAACGTGGGGACATCTCAAAATTGTCAAAATCACTATTTGCCTCAATTTTTTCCATCACAATTTATTTCAAAGTGCTGCAACTTCTCAGGGGATTGAGATCGAGTCAAAGTCTTTTCAGCGTTGGTTACACGTTACTTTATGATTGACCTTGGGTCATTTTAAGCCTCTCACAAGTCAAATTTCTTGGCGATGAGGGGGACTCCGCCCCCTTCAAACCCCCCAAACAGAAGGGGGCACATCCCCCTTCTGGCAACCCCCTGATGTATCTTTTGGATGGGGGCGGCGCCGAAAAAGTGCTCACTTTTCCTAGCAACATTTCTCAAACGAAAACATGTGTTTGGGCCCAAATAGAACATTTTTTCACTATTTCAGACCTAAAAAAGTTGGGGGTCGAAAGTGCGTTGTTTTGCGTATATATGAGGTAAGGAGTTAAGATCTTTGAACCTCAATTAATAACGAAAACAATCTTCCTACGTTTTTTAGAAATTTTGACACACAATGAGATACTGTTTTGCACACTATTTTGGAGATTATTATAATCTTAAACGCTTACATTACTCAATGAAATACAAAAATTAAACACCTCTAGTGAAGACTATGTTAGTATCGGAAGGACATTATCATTAAGAGTCACATAACATAACCTTATTTGAATATAAGTACTGGAGGTCGTGACTTTTAATTTCTATATAGAAAATTGAAAAGATAACACAATCATGAACTTGTCTTTGTGATGATTCCCACGGACAGTTGTTCATGTATATTCCATTATAATATGATAAGACTTAACTAGTTCTAATTCTTAAAGGGTCCTTTCAGCTTTAACAATGTCATTATCTTTATTTTGCAACCTCTTATTTATTAAATATATTTTTACTTTTTTGTGTGTGTCATATTTCGGATTAATTTGTTTTGCATTAAAGTCTAAATACAACTAAGTTTACTGTTTGCTACTATTGTTACAACTGTATTACATCCCTCGTTATTTTTTTTCTAGATTTTAAGAATATTAAAATTTCAATATACATATAATCCAACAAGATATACGCATAAGCTTGCCTTTTCGGCGGAAAACATTCCTGGTTAATGACGCGCCTTTACCAATCATGAATAAAATTCGTCAGATATATTGCATTGCTGTCTGTAGCGAATGATTATGCATTGTTAACGTCTACACGCAAATGGTTACTGATCTTTCATGAACCGAAAATTCCAGCTCGAAATTCTGTCTTACAATCTATCTCTCAATCAATCAATTTAGAAATCAATAAATCTATCAATAAATCAATAAACCAATCATTCAGTCAATCAATCAATATATGAAAGAGTCATAAATGTTTCGTGTTTTAAGTAAGGTACACGGCACATTAGTTCTAACAAATGATTAACAATTTCTATCTTCATATAGGGGAATCATGAGTTTTATTACTTCTTTATATTTGCTTTAAACACTATTAAAGCAGAAGTGCAGAGGGTGAAAGTATTTGTCTTATAAGTAGGAAAATGTAAACAAAGCAGTTTTTGACCTCCATACAAAATACTCAATTACTTTAACTGTACTAATTGTTAAACTAAAAACAAACAAACAAAAAAAAGAGAAGCAAAAGATGTTCCAGGCAATTGACCATTGAGTACAATTTTGGAAGCTTTGAGAAGACACCAAAACTAAACAGCTTTGGGGAATGACAACAAAAGCATTTCTTGGGCATAATGGTACAAATGTAGGTAGCAACGTTTGTCCAATACAAACGTGTGAGGAAACATTTATTCAAGCATGAAGTGTCATATTAAAGCAGCATGCTTTAGTAAGACATGACGAATCTTACACGTTTCAATTAGTATACCTGATTTAAAGTCAATAGAGGACTACATGCAACACATAAAAGAAAATGCACATATTATAGCTGCATACCTTTAGATTCATTCTAATTTTCATTAAAAAAGTATAATACTGCCATTAAAAAGGTAAAGTATTTGAATGTAAGATATTGTGAAGTTAACAAAAAAGTAATTTTAACTACCAAAATGAGGTAAACATATGTAAAAGTAGTCCTTAGGGCGTTAGTCACGCTGAAGAAATATGGTAGTAACCTCTGATAAATCAGTCATAAATTGCACAAAACAAATACAATTATTACTTGAATCCTTAATCCTTTTATTATTCTTAAAATCTTATATAGAAGCCTTATTTATTAAATGTGTTGGCTCTTCCGAACGTACGAAGCTTAATTTGGCAGTGTTGTTATTAAACGTCCTGCTTTTGAATATAACTCATAAAAAACTTCTTTTTTAATGTAACTCATTAATGATCTGCATGTACTGTATTGGCGTTGACATGTATGAAGTCAAATATCGATTAATTTCCTACGTATTTGTAAGTTTAAGAGTTTAAAGAACGATTTTAGTGTTGGTTAATATACTAAAAATAGTTATGTCATCATTTATATAACCTTTCGCCCTATCTTCAATGTTATGTTCGATTAAATTCGAACATTAAGAGCTCATATTTATGACAGCGGCATATTTGTGTTCACACCATCGTCGACAAAGGGTCATGAATTTCTATCTCGGAATAGTTCTAGCCGCAGCAATTGGTATGCATTTAAAACATCAGCAACAGTTTGTGCTTATTTGAAGTTAACATTGTTGGAAGTTTTAAACATTGAGTAAATAACCATATTAATATATTTTTAACAAAGTATGCGTTATGGCTAATGTATAATGGATATAACATATAATAATATACATGTAGCTTTATAAAATTGTACCTATCTTTCATTGTGATTTCTTAATTTCCGTGGTAACTGCATGTTGCCGAAACCGCCAAATATGTTAAAATTTCTACATTTAGCTACGATGTAGTACGTAGTTTAATATTTTATATATTGTAAGTAAGTGTAAATGTAACATTCAAGATGCATTTTCGTTTGTTAGCCATATCTATCATTTTGAAGCAGAACAAAAACTGATCATCACAAATTTATGTCACCTAAACACAGCAATAATATGAATTAAACTGAGAACTTGCAATTTATTTTCTTGCATGTAGAACATTTATCAAACATGAATTCACTATTTAACGAAAAATACAAAGACAAATTGCCTTTTTATTATATACTTATCAATAAAAATTTGGAAACATTGCTGAAATTTGTTTTCATTTTCTGATTTGAAAATTCTCATATTGCACACGTGACTACTAAATTTTTTATTTTATTTTCATATCAACCTTTGAAAATATATTCTGTTTTATAGAAGAAAAAAAAACTTGAATATACTCTGTCTTTAGTGAATCTTTTATAAATATAGCTCGATAAAAAAGTGACACAATTGCGATTTCACATGCACAAAAAACAATTTGTTTTTAATTATATGCCTTTTGTTAATTTCGACTGCTTTTAAAAGCGCAAATCTGACTCCGGTTGGATGCTCAGTTTTATTGATTTAAAGTATTTCAAGTTTACATGAAGAAATTAAAATAAACAGGACCAAAAATCATTTAATGATGTTATGACATTTCAATTAAATCGGCAAATGTGAATTCATCAAAAAGCTATATCACTTAGTTCATTAGTGAAAAGGATTTTATTTAACTGAAAAAAAAACAAACAAATTTTTTAAAATGCTTTGATAAGCAAAATAATGTGGTTTTTGCCATACATTTTAAATACATTCAGTAATATTTTATGCCTTTGTTTCAGCTGCTGTCTATTCGACAAGTTGCAAGCATGGTGACGTGAGCATGTGTGGTGGTCTTAATTGTACAGATGATAGCATGGTGGTTGGCTGCGAGCACGAAGTATGCACATGTGTTATGGACACAAGTGGCGGCAACGGAAACGGTATGTAATTTTTAATTTGGTTAAATGTTGGCCATGCAGACTTGCCAAGCAAACCTATGTAACCTTGTTGGATTCCTTCTGCAATTAAACAAAACTTGCACCGTTCCCCATGCGAAGCAAGCATAAATCTGACAAGAATAAAGAAAAATAGTACATAATAATGAAATAAAAATAAATGTCGAAAAAAATATTATTAAGACCGGTTTTATATTATTACTTATAAAGATTTTTGACAGGTAATATATGGCCCTATATTAACATTTGCAGTTCAGTGTTGTTAAATTTTTATTGTCCTTCGGGTTCATTGATGCCAGCATTATTAAGTTTTGAAAATTGAGAACCGCTCAAGGCTGTGCAAGGGGGCGTGAGGGATTTTGCACGTAATCATTATCCATCATGTAGTGACTCAATCAAACCGAGTCGGCAATTCTCTTGTAATTTTGTTGTGATTTATACTTACGAGGAATCACTTTGTTTACAGATTTTTATAATATAGCAAGCATCTTGTTTTAGAGTAAAAGTGAGATTTCTTCTTATATTGACAGCAACAGTGTATATAAAACTAGAAATATCACGAAAAGCCAATGTAAAGCGACGATACAAACGTGCAGTATTATTAATGTACAAATAATTAAAATTTTATTCTATATCTTTTTGTTCTAGATTGTATGGATATAGGTGACTGTCTAGGAAGAGAGCATGAGCTTCACTGTAAACATGACGAAGAAGCACACTGTCTTGACAGAATGTGTGCGTGCTTAAAGATGCCACACCATGGTTAACCATCATTTAATATTGCATTAGGATATTTCAATTGATATATAATAAGATAGTATTTTGCATGAAATAAAAGTGAATACTTTGTTTTATTACCTGTGTTCTTGAGGTCATACCGGTCATGTGCTTGAATAACAATTTAATTTGGGAAAATTCTTAAACGTAAAACAAGTTTTTTCAAATTCAATTTGTCCGAAGATTTAAGCTTAATGAAACACTTCCCAACCAATCAGAACTTAGCAATGAGTAACTTGTTCACAGAACAAAGGCTTGCAAATGATATGGTTTTAACCAATGAAGCAAGCAATCTGTGAATTATCACGTAATAATGATGTACGGCGTGGATTAGAAAAACAAAATGTATTCATTTCAAGTTCACATCAGCATGATAATATTATGCTTGTAAATATTGGCACATGCACCTTTTAGGTGTTTAAAGGTAAATTGTATCATAGCTTTCTGACCTTTCTGTTGAAAATGTGTCCGAGTTAAATCCAATACATGTACATATACAGTGCAAGTATTAGTTTCTGCACTCAAGAGCATACCTATTGATTGGCTCATTTTTTGCGGTTTACTTATTGTGACGACAGAGAAAGTGATAGCGACAGAAACATTTTATTCATATAATCGTTCAATGGTCATCATCGTACTGAAACCTTCATGTTGTGCATGTTCATAATGCAATATTAACATGGTGGCAAACGTTGAACTATCATAACTGTTCAATGGTCTCTCATACAAGATTGTACTGATAACAAAAAGAGTTTAATGTTTGCGCATGCAGACAGGAAGACGACAGTACGTTGGTGACGCGCAACAATACGATAGTGACTGCATGACAGTACGATGGTGACAATACGAGTACGATAGTACGACTGTGAAACGCTACAGCACGATTGTGACAATAAAAAGTACGATGGCTACATCACATATCAGAAAATCGAAAGTTCTATTATCTCGGAAACATTAGAGTTAGAAATAGCGACATCAATTGATAAAGCTCCAGTTTTTTTATCAAGTCAAACGCAACTATTTGGCGGTAAAAAGCATGTCTGTGAAAGAAAATGTGTTTGCGTAGCAGTCACGCCTTGTTTTAAAATGAAATTTTAATGATAAAAAGTTGTCAGTCACAAGTACGCACATTAGCTTGTGACAACCATTTTTATTATCGAAGTTTATACTTTTTATTTAAAAATATGTTATCGAAATACCACATTGAAAATTGATAGACTGCAATGCACTGATGACTATATTTTCTTTTGACGAGTTCTTGGAATACTGTAAGTGTTGCGTTTGAATGGTGCTTAAGCGTGTGCTACGTGAGAGAAATGTGTTGCAGATTTTATATCCCGACAACACCGAACATGCGGTTTTAAACTCTGTCCAGATTCAATTGCTTTTGATAACATTTCCAATTCAATTAGTAAATGTTTGATAAAGCGGTTTGTGCTGCATCGGTGTAGTGACTTTAACAAAGTTTAACCAACCGTCACTGTAAACGGCAGTAAGATTAAATTTTGATACGTCACTTAAACTTTTATCACATTAGCCGAAAGGAATTCTATTCGTAAGATTTTTAGAGAAATCTGTGCTGTAGAGAGGACACAGGCAGTTTCGATGTCTACCTAGACAGATTATTTCATTTGAAATCAATTAATTACGGTGGAGCGGTAGCCGCAAGATGCTCGCGAGGCGAATCCTCGGTCCTCGCAAGACAAACACAAAACGCTCTGGAATAAGGACGTCTAGCATGCGTGAGTCTGCCATACGGTTGTTTACGACAGTCTTGAGACGTCACAAATCCGTCAAGCAACCGCAGAAATAATGTACATGTTGAAAAATCAGTCTGTCACGTCGCGGCAACCTTGCGACCCTAAAGAATAAGTCCCGTACGAACTTTCAATAACAATTGTTAGATCAGTACATTAAGTGCTTTTATTAAATCTGTCACTTATCTACAAAACGATGTCAATTACTATAGCATAATCGTCTGCAGGACAAACAAATGCCGACAGCCGTCAAATATACCTTATCTCTTCGAGATCATAATGTGTGGTTCATATTGTGCATGTCTTCATTTTTTTCGTCACTTACTCTGTGTGCCAGACCGTTGCAATAAGTCATGAAAGTATATCTCGTCTGTGGATTTGTACTGTCGGCAGTAGTTGGTAATTATTTCTTTTTTTTGTTCATTATATTTTGTCGTTAATGGTACTTCATAAAAAAGGTGTGTACTAATTATTTATTATTATTATTTTCATTGTGTTAAAAGGTTATTTAAATCAAGAAAAAAATCAATAACATAATTTATTATAATTAAAAAAGACAAAGCGTATAAACCTCAATTTCTAATATTTATTGTTCATAACAGTTAGAAACAAGACAGCATTGATAAAATCAGTACAAATCTGCTTCATTCTATAAAGTCCTTAACCCCATAAGGTATCTTTAAGAACGATTCGGTGACATAATGTTGTAACCGTTTGATACGGTGTTTTTTTGTGTGTTTTTTTTATTTCTTTTTTTATATTTTCTTTTATTTATTTATATCTTTTCTCTTTTTCAATTATGTTTTTTTATATTTTGGTACAAATTAAAATTAAATTAATAATTGATACAAACATTCCTTGCTTCTAGCAGACCTTAATTTAGAGAGCATGCAATACATACCGTGCCGCTTTTGCGACTACGTAAAATCAGTATTGCACAGCCGTACATAGGATATTATTTTGTCGAAACGTCTTTTGCATAATACAAACATGGTCTAAAGACTCTCTAAACGTTATCGTTACACTGTAGGCGCGTCAATAAAGAAAGCCACATCTTCACTTTAAACACCCTTCATTTCGTGTATGTGATATTCGTGAAGCTTCATTACTTTATTCATAGAGTAATATTATGCATGTCAAATGGTTTGATAATATACTTTTATTCAACCAGTATTGGATCTATACTCTTTTGATATTATCTATATACAATTCTGCTTAGATCCAAATATTTCAAATTTTAGCCATTGTACTGTCAAAATGTCATCCTGGTGACTTGAGCTCGTGCAGCGGTTTGACTTGTTCCGATCCCAACCAGGTGGTCGGATGTGAACATGATGTTTGTACTTGCGTAGCGGCAGGTGGATCTGGATCTGGTGCAGCAAGTGAGTAATGTTTTCTTAAATAAAAAAGACAAACAAAACCATATGTTTAAATTTCAGGGCATCCCTGTGCATAAATATTTGTACCAATTTCGTGGAAAAAAGATGTTTAAAAAGACATCTTCTAAAATAAAAACAGGTTTCATTACTAGTTGGGCTATTATCGACAACAATCTTATCATTATTGTTATTCAAATTTACATTTTTTTTTTAATTTGAAACTTGTCAAATTCTGTGACCGATGTAAAATGCATTTCTTCTTTGAAATGTGATACTTGAAAAGCAGCAACAATTCAATTATCAAATTTATCAACATATGTTATTAGGTAATATTAGAGATACCTGTCGAAATTAGACGGTGCAGAACCCTTAAATACTCCCATACATTATGATAAAGTTTTTGAAATCCGTACACAGATGTACTTTTTTAAAAATATTTCCATTCACACTCTTCCCCTGCAATTTCCCCCTAAAAATCATTTTTACAAGGATTTATTAATTACTTATTTTGTTGAATCATTCAATACTTCAAAATTAACATTTTCAGATGTAATTGTTATGTATTTGATCATAAGTTTAGGTTTAATTCTGAAACATTAATTATATTAATCAATATTTCTTCTTTATTTATAATTATATATATGCATATAAAAATTCCGGTTAAAGTTTTTAAAGACCCTGTAACGCAAATTGTTTATAGTTTTATTACATACATCTTATGCTTAAATAAAGATTTATCAATATTGTTAGTTTAAAAAAAAAACATAATTTGTAAAGATGTTACCGCATTTAACTTTTCATTAGAAATTTATTTTGATGAAGTCTAAGCCAATAGAAAATGAGTGTGTTGATCTATATAAACATTTGCTGTATACACATTTTGTTTTAGAAGAATGATTATATGAATATATAACATGTCTCTTAACTGTGTGTTACATCCTGAGTTACAACATACAGAATATTTAATTGTGTTGAATATATGTCATTTTACAGATTGCACAGACAAGCCTGATTGCGTTGGCCAGATTCACTGTAAACATGATGAAGATTTCCATTGCATAGATAAACAATGTGCGTGTCTAAAAGTTCACCATGGACACGGCCCATAAACAGATCAACTACTGCAATGTTATTATTTTCTTTTCTCTAATTTTTATGCTTAGGCAAAGAATAATAAATTAATATAAACAAGTCTGGATTTGTTACAACCAATTTATCCACTAACGTTGTATGTGACGACACGTATACAATGACTTTTTAGTTTCAGTTATATAATTTTAAGCATACATGATTGAACTTAAATAACATAAACAGTATTTTGTTTTTGATTTTACGATATTGTTAGCAATTTAGTTTTAGATAGATCTCTTGCTCCTGAATCGTCGGATACACACGGCCGCAACATTAACATAAATCAGCCATGGAAGTGTTTCAAAGACATTTTTTTCATTGGTTGCCCAACGATTTCATGAGGCGATTAAAACCAATCAAAACGCTCATTCTATACGACATTTGGTGAAACGTTAATTCTAGAAAGAATACAACAATTGTGGTCTCAGCTTGTGGAATAATATCACAAATTAAGTTTGGGGATTGTTTTACTTTTAATAGTATAGGCACGTGAAATAGAAATACACCATGGGTGCTACTATTTTGTTTCTGATACTTGATTACCTTTGCTGTCGAAGAATAAAAATTTTGCTTATCACGATTTCATTTGCCGATATTTTACGCACCTGTTGCTGAATACCGACGCAGTTTGGTTCATTTTACCTACGGTAGATTACATGGTTTGCTATATGTTAATCAACCGTTGGTATACGATATTGCTCCTACAGAAGCCAAAATGCATATAATATATTACATAACAGCCGTCGCAAATAAAACCGAATACTCATCCTAATATACCACTTTGTGTTGTCTATTAAAGTGACATTACGCTCATTTTTTCATAGTCAATTTGAGCTGAATTTACTTTATATTACAAAAGATTGACTGTTAAAATGGTGTTTGACCAACAGTTGATATTGGAAAACGTTCTGGATAAAATTTTAACACTGCCTAAAATATAAAAAGACTGCCCCTCTCTTTTTATAAACTGAGCGTTAGAGGTAAATTCTAGTAGATATTTACAGACATTTTATCTGGATCTGAGAATTATTTATTGTTTATGGGAAGTAAACAATTGAATTAAAAACGATTACTGCAAAATGAAAACTTATTTTGATATTCAACTGTTCACTCACTATATACCCTGGATTGGCATAATGTCACTTAAAAAAACCGCTCACTGTTTATTCCACCGTTCTCTGTCACTTATTTACTTATTCATGATCTACAGAAGGAACAAATACCTGAATGAAAGATTGATTACAGGCGATTTATATATGCTTGTGTCGGTTTGATTTACGTTTTTTGATTTTACAAGTTTTATTAAAAAAATCGTTATACATTTGCGTTACGCCGACTTCATTATTATTTTTTTTATTTCAGCATATAAAATATGTAGCACTAAGCCAATTATTCTACAATCGTTTTATTCTTTAAATTATTATAGTTAAGACTAAATTTAAAATTCTTAAAATTATTATTTCATATTTTGAATATTTAAGGTATACAAAGTCGGTCGAGCTTTATTAATTTCTCACATGCAACTATAGCATTAGTTTATATTATGTTTTACTATAATCAATGAGGTGCAATACATCTTACAATACGTGTTGAACGTATCTCAATAATCGCAGTACTTGTTTTGCCTTATAACACTCCTGAATTTAATCTTTTCTTTTTTTCCTTTTACTTCGACTATTATTTTCGTATTCACGATTTCGTGACCAACAAGGAACAGAAAAACTTATATTCAATACGCTAACCTGACCTATCTTATCAAAACGTGCGACCTTTCAAACGTATTCAATTGATTGTAAGATGGTTATAAAATACTAAAATATAGTAACATTTGATCTAACGAGGTTACGATCTTCATTTTCACAAGTTTAATCTGTATTATATTTATTTATAAACAAAACACATGGATCTTGTTGCCACTTAATCGTTTCATTTTTCATCACGATGATGTACGATATTTATATAATGACGTCGAATTAATTAAGTTAGGTAGAGAAATGTCAGCTGCTAGAAAAAACTGTGCACTTGGTTACTAGGTAGTTTTGTTTACTTACGTGAGCAAGGTATTGACAATTTTGTAATTCAAAATTTTCAGAAATATATTGTCTGCACATTTGTTTTTTTTATCATATAGAATTAAATAAATAAATAAATAAAAATAGATAAATAAATAAAAATTATACTTCAGAATTGTGTTTACGTCTAAAAGTAAAAACTGCAGAGTTGTGTTTTAATGTGTTTTTTCTTATCACGTGACATTTAATCCGTACACGGATAACGTTGAAATTGTATTAGTTTGACGTAATATTCTTTAGTGTCGGCTAGCGTACGTGGTATTCCATTCGAATATTCCAAGATCCAAAAACAGTATCTCATTTACAAGAGTCACAAGTGTCTAAAATTGGTCAACTTTCCCGCTATTTACTTGTGAAAGAAAATGCTGAAATGACATTCAAAATTCAGTTAAATGTAAACCATCAATTTTGCATGTTTACTAATTTTGATAACACATATGCTAATGTCTTGCTTAAATAAGTTTATAGTTTTTTTTCTCTAAAACCAAATGCACATTTGTTCTGCTGCTGAGTATATAAATAAAATATTTTTTTATTTGCTGTCAGATTATTATTTTTTTCTCGTACAAAGTAAAAAGATAAAATTTAGAAGAACTTTTGAGGAGGCAATGCGTTCTTTTATCCTCGTCATTATCAATCAATGTCAACAAATGATAACTAATAGATAAATAAGTAATTAATGAATGAAATATTGAGAAAATAGAAATTAAGAAATGGAAAATTCAATTTTTTTTCTATAGTGCCATTTTTGAAATATATATTTTCATACCACTCATGAAATAAATCCTGTATTTATAGAAAAAAACTTATATAACCTCTATATATTGCTATATAGATATATAAAATATTAATGAATAAATAGGCAAATAAATAGAATGACAAATAGAAATATAAATAAATAAAATAATAAATAAATAAATTAGATAAATAAATAAAATTCAAATGAATTAAAAAATCAAATGTGAATCCTTGCTCGAGCACAAAGCAACAACATAGTAATTGCGTGACATGTCCTTGAATCTGTGGCTTAAAGTTAAAGTTAATGTAAATTAATTATGCAAAAGTTAGATCTGATGAAGTGTATAGTTGCCTATGTTTAAAAAAATAAATGTATGATATTAATCATATAATGACACTACTTCATAATTTATCATTGACCTATAAAAAAGAACATATCCTTCAGAAGATAACAAATTATAGAAAACAAGAAATCAAAATGAACCTTTAATATGGAGGACGTATATTTTTCTTTCTAAAAGTAGAGTTATCTTTAACCTTATTGCCCAGATTAAAAAATGTCCTAGGCAAACACAATTTCTTTGCTATAGGATGTTTCGTCTCATAGAGGAAGCTATACTGTTTAGAAAACGAACCGCTGAAAATTCTTATATTTCTCAGTAATAAACCCTAGGCCTTGGGCACCTTTGGACCAAGAGCTTAAATATATCAACATAACTTATCAAGTAAATCAAGCCTGAAGTTTGTAAGCTCAAAGTCAATGAAAAGATACAGAAAAAACAACATTGAACCGAACACTTCATCCATTTATCTCACGTATCACAAAGCACTTGGAATTTAATTACAAATATACAAATTAAAACAGCTTAAACTAGGGAAGTTAATCTTATGTTTATAACATTTTTTTATCACTTGTAAGTCGCCAAAATCACGATAGTATAAATTCGTTTTAACAAAATCGTGATGGCAAGCAGTTTATATAAGAAGCTTGTTCAAAAGTAATGGAAAAAGCAATAATTTTTTTCTGTTTTCGATTTAGGTGATCATGATTAACAAGTATATTATAACATCAATTTAATTTCATGAAAATACAGGGTGTCCGTGACCGAGTGGTTTGGGTCGTTTACCTCTTCACTGCTGTTGGTTTGAGTCCTTGGAATTTTTTTTAATGATGTTCGCCGTTGGTTCTACTCAGGTGCCTTGTTCGTGTCAGAAATATTGCATGCAGTGTCACCTGGATTCTTCATAACAGACGCCATATCATAGATCAGCGAGTACAGAAAAAATAGAAATTACAGTGTATAATTCTTTCTGAACATTGTTACATGTTGCAGTTGATGTTGAAAGAAAATGAGTCACCAATTTGGTAAATGTATATCAGGTAAAGCTAAATTAAGCCCAGCCAAATGTAAAATGTGACTGAATACATTAACTTCAAATGGACATTTTGTCGTATTTGTTATAATTTGTATAAGATATATCCCCTGAATAATTGATAATTCCCCATTGACCATAAACATTCTTCTGAATATTCATAAGTTACAAAGAGCAGGGCAGTCCTTTATTTTTTAACATTTTTAAATTGTGTTTAAACCTCAGTGTAAGTCATTATTGATTTTTTGTCTGTGATCATTATAATTATGATGATTATTATTATTTAATAAGCTTAATTTGACAGTGAAAAACTGAGCATTTTGCCACTGTAAAAATTCTTATATAATAGACAATTAAAACCACATTAAATGTAAAGAAAAAACTAAATACAGCAATATATAGGAACACAAAGTTATGTAAACATGTCGGTAAATTACCCTCGTGACAATTCGAAATGTTCCTATAAAAAAACAATAAAAGTTCTAAAACCGGTCACTTTTATGTCGCTTTTATGAGCTATTGTCATCCCTACCTATTTTATCGTCTTTGAAATTACGAGAAAACATATCATATGGTACTGGTAACTGAAAGACAGACTTTTGTCCATTGGCTTTGATATAAAAGTGCACCGTTAACAACAAACTAAAAAACAGCAAAAGAAAATCAAAGTATATCTTTAGCATACGTTGTAAGGTTATAGTTATAAGCATCAAATGGTACAGTTTACAGTTATATTCGAAAAGTTGGATCAAAAGTGGCTAAATATTTGAAAACCAAATTCTTAATAACATTTGAATAGTCACGTTATATAAGAATGTGTGTAAGATTATTGGCCGCATTTTTTAAAAATTTTGCGGAAATTATATAAATGTTTGTT